CTCACCTGTGAAACACAATATCTTTTATTTTATGGCCGTGAGTTCTGATTGCTGGTCACTGTGCCAATCCTGCTGTGCTGCTACTCAGAATGAGAGTCCTCCTGGCGCTGCCATCTTGCCCCCGCCTGATCCCTCCACATTCAAACTAGTCCTTTTTCTACTTTCTTTTTTTTTAAACTTTAATTTATTTATTTAATATTAATTATAGTTTATTCACTTTAGCTGTAGCTCCCTCCTTCATTCCCTCCCACCCTCCCTCAATCATCTTCTCTTAAGCCCCTCTTCAAGTCCACTCATAGGGGAGGTCCTCCTTCCCATCCACCTGACCCTAGCTTATCAGGTCTCATAGGACAGGCTGCAATGTCCTCCTCTTGGCAAGGCTGCTCCCCCCTCAGGGGAACGTGATCAAAGAGCCAGCCACTGAGTTCATGTCAGAGACAGTTCCTGTTCTCATTAGTAAGGAACTCACTTGGATACTGAGCTGCCATGGGCTATATCTGTGCAGGGGTTCTTGGTTCTATCCAAACATGGACCTTGGTTGGAGTATAGGTTTCAGAAAAGACCCTTTTGCCCAGATATTTTGGTATTGTTGTTCTCCTTTTGGAGCTCCTGTCCTCTCTAGGACTTACTGTCTTTACCTTCTTTCATAAGATTCCCTGGACTCTGCCCGAAGTTTGGTTATGAGTCTCAGCATCTGTTTTGATACACTGCTAGGTAGAGTCTTTTAGAGGCCCTCTGTGGTAGGCTCCTGTTCTTTTCCTGTTTTCTCCTTCTTCCAATGTCCATCCTATTTGTCTTTCTGAGTGAGTATTGATCATCTTACCCAGGGTCCTCCTTCTTGCTTAGCTTCTTTAGGTGTACAATTTTTTATTGTTTTATCCTATATTATAGGTCTAGTATCCACTTATAAGTGAGTATATACTATGTGTGTCTTTCTGCTTCTGGGATACCTCATTCAGGATCAGGATGATCTTTTCTAGATCCAACCATTTGCCATTCATGATTTCCTTGTTTTTAATTGCTGAGTAGTATTCCATTGTGTAAATGCACCACAATTTCTGTATCCATTCCTCAGTTGAGGGACATCTGGGTTGTTTCTAGCTTCTGGCTAATACGAATAAAGCTGGTACAAACATGGTTGAACAAATATCCTTATTGTGTACTTGAGCATATTCTGGATATATGCCTAGTAGTGGTGTAGCTGGATCTTGAGGAAGCACTATTCCTAATTTTCTGAGAAAGCACCAGATTGATTTCCTAAGTGGTTGTACCAGTTTACATTTCCACCAGCAATGGAGGAGGGTTCCCCTTTCTCCATATCCTTTCTAGCATATATTGTCACTTGAGTATTTGAACTTAGCTATTCTGATGTGTTTCAGTTGAAATCTGATGATTTGCATCTTCCTGATGATTAAGTACATTGAGCATTTCTTTAATTGATTTTCTGCCATTCTATATTCCTCTACAGAGAATTCCCTCTTTAGCTCTGTACTCCATTTTTTAATTGGATTACTTGATTTATTGCGTTTTAACTTCTTATGTTTTTATATATTCTGGGTATTAGCCCTCTGCCAGATATAGGGTTGGTGTAGATCAGTTGATAAAGACAGTATGTAGGTTGTCATTTTGTTCTGACAGCAGTATCCTTTGCTTTATAAAAGCTCTTCAGTTTCATGAAGTCCCATTTATTGATTATTCAGGAAGTTGTCTCCTGTGCCAATGATTTCTGGGCTCTGCCCCACTTTTTCTTCTGATTTACTGTGTCTGTGTTTTTTTTTTTGTTTGTTTGTTTGTTTGTTTGTTTGGTTGGTTGGTTGGTTTTTTTTTGTTTTTGTTTTTGTTTTTTGAGGTCTTTGATGTTCTTGGACTTTATTTTGTGCCTGGTGATATATATGGATCTATTTGCATTTTTCTAGACATTCATTTAGATCAGCACAATTTGTTGAAGATGCTGTCTTTTTTCCAGTGTATAGTTTTAGCTTCTTTGTCAAAAATCAGGTATTCATAGGTTTGTGGGATTATTTCTGGGTCGATTCCTTTAGCATACTGTTTCTATGCCAGTACCATGTAGTTTTTATTTCTATTGCTCTGTAGTACAGCTTGAGATCAGTGATAGAGATACTTCCAGAGGATCTGTTGTTGTACAGGATTTTTTTTGCAATTCTGGGCTTTTTGTTTTTCCATATAAAGTTGAGAATTGTTCTTTCAAAGTCTGTAAAGAATTTTGTTGGTATTTTGAATCTGTAGATTGCTTTTGGCAGTTTGGCCATTTTCACTGTGTTAACTCTACTGATCAATAAACAAGGAAGATCTTTCCATCTTCTGATATCTTCTTCTTTTTCTTTCTTCAGAGACCTAATTTTTTTTTTTTAAACAGGTCTTTCACTTGCTTGGTTAGAGTCACACCAAGGTACTTTATGTTATTAGTAGGTATTGTGAAGGGTTTTGTTTTCCTAATTTCTTTTCAGCCTTTTTGTCTTTTGTATACAGGAAGGCTACTGATGCTTTTGAGTTAATTTAGTATCCAGTCACTTTGCTGAAAGTGTTTATAAGCTGAAGGAGTTCTATGGTTGAATTTTGGGGGTAGCTCATGTATACTATCATGTCATCTGCAAATAGTGATACTTTGACTTCTTTCTTCCCGATTTGTTTATCCTTGATCTCATTCAGCTGCCCTTTCAACTTTCATCATCTTTAACTTTAATAATGCAATGATTTTCTTTAGTGTTATTTACAAATGGGTGGGGATTTACAAGTTCTGAAGGAAACTGTTATTCAGGAACCATAAGCAGTATAGAAATCATGGTGGGTTAAGGTGTCTTAAGTGCCTCACATTGTCTGTCAGGGTGTTTGTGGGGCAAATATTGTGTAGTACTTATATGGGTTATCATAGCTCTTGTGAATTTAAGAGTGCAAACACTCATGCTATGCCCAGAATCAGCTTAGGTGTCCATTGACTGTGTTGCTAGTCTCTTTGTTTTCCCATTTCCTTAATGTAAAATGGTGGTGCTTAAATCTTTTCTGCAAGTGTCCCTGCCTTTTAACTGTGCATCATTCTACAATACAAAAGCACAGGATATTAATATATTAATTTTCCCAATCTCAAGACTATTTTGGTCCCATGGTTTTGTCCATCACTGTTCATTCATGTAAGTGCCTGAACACTTGAGGTGAAGTGTCTGCAGATTCAACCATGGTAGTAGTTATAATCCTTAGAGCCTTCTTTATGTACAATAAGTACTTCCTTTTTGCAGGTGAGGAAACTGAGGCTTTGAGAAGAAAGGTAGCTCAGCACACAACCAAGCACATTTTAGATCATCTGAATGATGAACATGTTATCAGTTTTGTTTTACTGTGGCCTGAACAGTCAATAGGGCTGGTTTTGTCAGCGTTCAGTTGGCCATTCATAAAGGAGTGTCCATAGACAACAATTTTTTTTTTAAATAAAGAGACTGGCTGTTCATGTCCAATTCTTAATGCAATTTTCTGAGTAAACATGTCAGTGCTTCAGTGCAGCTGAAAGGCATGTGGGACAAAGTACAGGACAGATTGCTTTCATAAGCAACATTTTTTCCCTCCAAATGCTCCCTGAATTGTCCTCTGACCAACTTTGATCCTTTGAAGAATGATATCAAACAAGTATGATCATATTTTCAAGTGATGTATCAAAGCTCAGGGAAGGCAGACGACTCTGTCAATGTTTTATGAGAAACTTCAGAAAAAAATGTTTCGAGTCTACAAAGACAGTTCAGCCAGTCAAGATGCTTTCCACCAAAACTGACCGTATGAATTCAGTTCCTGGGATCCAGGTAGGGAGGGAGAAACTCAACTAGCACAAATTGTCCTTTGACCTCCACATGTGCACCCCCCCCATACACACATGTAGCCAACTAAATATATTAAAATTTATATAGCTGGTATTCAGTTAATTTGAGCCCTGACTGCAATAGGAAGCTCTCTTTGCCTTGCAATGGCTCTGGCTTTGTCCATATCAGTAATGTGACACTAAAGTAGAAGCAAAGTGTCTAAAGAATGAAGAAATGATGGGTATAGGAAGACTAGGAGGCTATTGAAGTGGATATGCTCAAAGCATATTATATTACTAAATAAAATTGTCCATGTTTAGCTGCAATGATTAATGTTAATTGTCACCGTGATGGGAATCCAGGTTCACCCGCGAGCAAGCCTCCAGGAACACCCAAGAGAGATTACAGAAATTAAGTTTACACTGAGAATATCTGGAACAGAATCCCTTGATTATAGTGGTTGGTGTGGGAAGACCCATTGTAATTGTAGGCAGGACCACTCTCTATTCTGGAGAACTGATCCTGGAGTACATACAGTACAGAAAACAAGCAGAGCAGTGGGATGTACTGCTGTGTTTCCTAATTGTGGATGTGATGTACCCAGCTGCTTCAAGCTCCTGCTTCCTTGTTTTCCCTGCCAGTATGGCCTGTATGCTTTAACTGTGAAATGAAATAAACCCTTTATCCTTTGAGTTGAGTTTGTCAGGTTATTTTATCACATCGATAAGAAGAGAAACTAAGAAAGCAACCCTGTGTAATTAAATAATTTCCCAGAGCCAGTGAATCTCAGTGATAGAGAGCTTGCATAGCATATGCTAAGTCCTGGTTTTGATTCTTGGAACTGTTGGTTTAAACAAAAACAAAACCATGCAAAAGCTTTTACTAACAACATGATACAAATTTTAGAAAAGTCAGAAGACTAAAATGACCTACTCCACCTCTGTCTGAGGATACATTTTGAGGTGTTCTAACATGTTATTTTTTTTCAGCTTTTTCCTCTGCAGTCACTCATCACCACACTAATTAATATACAGCATGTCTTTATTTGGCACAGACGTCCCATATATTTGGTTTGTCCCCTTTGTTTCTGAGCCTATTAAAGCTCAGAAGCTTTAATAGCTAAAGCTACTGAGCCTAATAAAGCAGAGAAGAAAGATGACCCTCATGGAAAAGCCCTTCCTGCTTCTCTTTTAGGCAACGGCTTGAATGATGGCCTATGGCATTCTGTCAGCATCAATGCCAGGAGAAATCGCATTACTCTCACACTGGATAATGATGCTGCTTCCCCAGGTCTGGACACCTCCCAGCTGCAGATTTATTCTGGGAATAGTTACTACTTTGGAGGTAAGTTCGCTAGCTTTTTTTTTTTTTTTCAAGTAAAGGGACAAGGAAATTATTCCATCACATTCTTTGTCAATTAGACAACTTTCCCCAAAGCCATGCATGCACACATGTGGGCACATTCAAGCACCAAACAGCGAGAAACCAAAACCCCAGACAACTATGCAAAAATAAGTTATCCCTAGGGCAGAAGGCTACTGGCACTGGGTTACATAACTCATGAAAAGAGATTCTTGTAGCTATGCCAAGCTTCGTAGTCACACTGGGAAGGAGAAACTCAGCTGAAAACACAGAGAAAAGGAGCTGAGAGTCAGCAAGTACCTACAAGAGGTACTTGAGTGGGAGGCACCACCTGCCTGCTGGGCCATTTCAGTCACTCCACTGCCACTTTACTTTGTGAGCCTCCTTTCCCCCTCCCCATGTCTTAGAGATCATCAGCACCACACAGGGTGACAGAACAAAATTGAGAGGAGCAGGTCTCCTTAGGGAAAGGAGAAGCCATTGCTGTTTCTGAATTGCTGCTCTTTCTAATGTTTCCTGAACCATTGCAACACTTCCAGTAACACAAACAAAAACAAACAGGGGTGGACAAAGCTTATGTGCCATTTTACCATTTTCATGAATGTACCAATGTTGAGTATTTTAATGGTATATTTTATTAAAAGAGATGGTGCCTACTTCTCTAGCCAGTGGTCTTTTTTAAAGAAGCCACATCTAACAGGAATGTAGTCTCCTTGGCTCTCTAATTCCCTGGACTCACTTTCTAGAACACATAGAATAAGCTCACTTTCAGAATTACACTGAGGAATAAACAAGAGAAGAATGCAGGCTTGTTGAAGCTTAGGGAAGGAGGGCTTGCTCAGTGTGTAAAAGTTACTGGTATCCACATAGAACCTCATATGCACCCAACCCCATGCACACTCAATTCTTCCATGGTCTTCCCCCTCCACACACCTGGGAAATGTCTTGTAGATGTGATCATGAGCCAGCCCTGCTCTACAGCTGACAGTTCCTTCTCACTTGGTAACTGAAGACAAGCATTGCATAATAGCATTCACTGAAGAGATAGCATGAGGACTTCATGGGAAAAGACATTTATTGCTCAAACCTGAGGACTTGAGTCTTATCCTTAGAACCTGTAGTGGGAGAAGAGAATGGGCTGTACAATTCTGTCTTGTGACTTCCATATATGCATGGCAGCACATGCATGCCTGCACTCTTTCTTGCTCACACATAGTGACAAAAATAACAAAAACAGCAATGAAACCTACATTGTAGTTACCTGGAGACTGCCACATACTAATCATAGACTCAACTGAGATGTAACCCAAACTCTGTAGTAATGTGACAGGCTTCAAATAGAAAAACAAAACCAAAAACAAACAAACAAAAACACCTCTTTTCACAGGTACAAAATAAATATTTAAGGTCTCTATGGAGAGGAATTGTGTGGAACAAGATCAATGAGGTTGGATTTTAACATGAGGAAGGGTCACAATCTATCACCCACAATCACCATTACATATCCAGAAGTATCATATCATTTTAAGTGATAATATGTCAATATAATAGATAATAGAGCTGTTATTTGTTGAAATAAAATAATCTGTAGGTTGGAAAGATGGCTTAATCATAAAGCACTTGCTATATCAGCATAAAGACCTGGGTTTGGACACATAGAGCCCTCTGAAAGCCAGACTCTGTAACACATGACTGTTACCTTTGTGCCACTTATACCAGCTCCCCTGGTGGATTCAGTGGGAAAGAGAAGATGCATCTCCAGACAAGGTGGAAAGCACCAACTCCTGTAGTTGTCTTCTAATCTATGTGCATAGGCTGTGGCACATGCTCCCTCACAGTCATGTATATAGTCAGCCAAAGACTAACAAAATCATAATCCGTGGGAGGCTGTAGAGACACAGAATGTATGGAACACATTCAAATGTGTGTTCAATGCAGCCCGATAGTGAAAGCAATTGAATGAGAACAAATTCTGAGCAATGCTTTCAACTACTAGCTCTTCATTCTATATCACATATGGTATTTCAGCAATGCAGAAAGAACCATGGTCAGGAATTTATTTCCAGGCAAAATGGCTTTGAGTTATCATGTTTAAATAATCATCTGAAATATCACAGAGACAAAATGGCTCTCCTCCCCCAGCTGGAATATTGCTAAATTCTTGGTGGGTTTCCAGGGGTGCTAGACATAGAACAGGAAGATTTATCTATGATTTGAGCAGTGTTTAAACAAACCTTATACACACAGACTGTAAACTTAAGGAAGGTGAAAAATGAGCTTCAGCAATAATAGTCAACTTACATAAATTCTCTCTACAGCTTCAATTAGAAGTTGCAGCATCTCTTCATTTTATCGTGTGTTGTGAGCTATTAACCAGCTGCTGGGCTTCAGCCCTGCAGTGACTGTCTGCTAGACATGGGTGAAATAATCCCCCCTTATTTATAGCTTATTGCCATGTTTTCAAGTTCACATTCCCATGTGCGTTAACCTATTAAAACCACAGAGATGGAGTTTGTAAGAGCACACATACCCATCTATCTGCTTAGTCTTCACCTGTCTTAATGAGGAGTAGGTTGGCCTGGCAGGTGATGTGAAATGGGAGCAATGCATTTTTATTTTTAAAAGAACACTCTTTAGGACTTGTGATAATAACCTTTCACATATTACAGCCTATAACTGTGTGCCCTTAAGCCCACAGTTTTCTTAATGTCTGGATTTGCTTTGCATAGCATGTCAAAAATCCTGCTTGGTTCCTGAGTGTACCTTTCACAGGAGCTAATCCTGCTAATACTCCACAATTAACCAGACAATTACGCTGCTGCCATCCATACCAGAACATAATTTCCTTAGAAATTGTAATTCAGAGTTGCACTGTGATTTTAGATATGTGTTTTGAGACAGAACCACCAACATTCCCAAGCACTTAGAATATGGGAAGTGTGTTTGAAAGATGTGTGAAAGATGTCATGCAAAGGAAAGACAAATATGTTTCCAGCAGCAAAGAAATATGTGTGTGTGTGTTTGTGTGTGTGTGTATGTTAGTGTATGTGTGTATGTAGCTGATTCAGTTGGTAAAGGTAAAATGCTTGTCATGCAACTGAGTTTGGACCTCCAGTACTCGTATAAAATGCTGGGCATGGCATGGAAGCCTTCGAATTCTAGTGCTGGCAAGGCTCAGATAAGCAGGCTCGCGGAGCTCTCTAACAACCCAGCCTACCAAAGTCAGAAGGCTCTGGGAAAAATGAAGAGGCAGTATCACAAAAAGTAAAGTGAAGAGGGAAGGCAGATCTCTGAAGCTCATGACCAGCTAATATAGATAAGTTGGTGAACCCGTGGTTCACAAAGAGACCTATCTCAAAGAATAAAATGGGAAGCGATATAGAAAGATATTCTGGTGTCAACCTCTGGCTCCTAAACATTACCAAATGAAACACACACACATTCAAACACACACACAAACATACATGGTGGGGGGGGGTTAAGATAAATGTTATACCAATTATATTCTCTTTGCCACTTTCTCCTTTATACAGTGACTGAGTATCCCCATTTTGCATCATTTCTGCCCCCCTCCTGATCTAGAATTTACAACAAAAGTGTGCCCTGTTATAAATATAACAATGCCCAAATAATTAGACTGCAGAGTTTTCCATCAATAGATTACCAATGCAATGACAGATCACTTCAGTGTTCTTCATCTTTTTTCTCTGTCCCACAGGGTGCCCTGAAAATTTCACCGATTCCCAATGCTTAAATCCCATTAATGCTTTCCAAGGCTGCATGAGGCTCATCTTTATTGATAACCAGCCCAAGGACCTCATTTCAGTTCAGCAAGGTTCCCTGGGGAATTTTAGTGATTTACACATTGATCTGTGTAGCATCAAAGACAGGTAATTATTGTCTTGTCTCCTCTGTTCCCCCACCCCTTCCCATTCTCACTGTTCTAAATATGAGTTTCTTTAAGCAAAATTCTAATCTGCCGACAGTAACCACATTAGATATAATTGAGTTGTCTAATGAAAAATATTTCTGAAAGGGTTTCAATCCTAGAGAAAATGGTTTAAATTAGTTGAAAGTCTCTTCATGTTGACTTGCAGCAAATGGGATATGCAAATTAAATCAAAATACAAATTTGTGAAAGATTAAAATTTTATGTATAAACAACACTGGATTACTTAGAAGTTAAGAGTAAAGCATAAAGGAAGGAGAAATTATTCTCCCCTAAACCATTTCATTCTTCACCTGTTGTGGGTAACTTTCCAATATTTTCACAAGGCTTCAGGAAATCTACAGCTAAGGCTTTGGCTGTGCTCAGCACAGATGTCCTCAATTGGAAATGACTGATCCTAACTGCCACCAACACTGCTCACCATTTCTTTAGTTACAAAGTGACTAGACTGTAGCTAGTGAGAATCAGAACTTTTATTCAACAACCCAGAGATCTACCTTGACATTCAGTTTCTAGTTGCATCTCTCTTGGGATTTGACTCCTACTATGGTAGAAGTTTCTAGATTTAAAGTCATGAAACCAAAGGGAATGGATGCTAAATTTCAACAGCATTTTGCCATGTTCCTTCTGTACAGGGATGCATTTTATAACTAACAGCATGTAATAGTTTTCTTGGCAATACATATTTCCCGAGAAGCCAGTAACTAATGACTTGCCTTGCAAATGAATTTGTCTTAGGTTCAGGAGACATGCTATAGCTCAGCTGATTCGCTATAATTCAGCTCATGGTCATGAAGGGAAAGCACATGGCTTCCACCCAGCTCGGGATGTGGACCTGGAATCATCACAAAAAGGGTCTTTCTGCTAGGAGATTTTATTTTCATGCTCTATATAAGAATTGACAAGGAACAGTATCATATTTAGCTAGAAACATAAGTTGAGAAAAAGGTAAGGCAGAGTTAGAGGAAATCAGGAGGTGAGTGTCCCAATCCAAGTAAAAAACGATGGAAAGCATCAGGTCCCTTTACTGGGAAACCCAGGAAATAAGCCATGCAGAACATCACTGTTTGCCAGTGTTGGAAATGAGCATTATAATTAGATGGAACATTATCCCACATTTCTGATAATATCATTGCACACAGGATCACCAACACACTACACTGACTTTGATCCATGTGCTTTTTTTTTTTTTTGCCCATTTGACCAGCTGGGAAAGTGGGTAATAAAATGTGTACTTCATTAAAATGTGCTAATTTAGAGGTCTGCAAATCAAAGCTATTATATGAAATGGATACAACCCACTTGTATATTCTTGGCAAGGGAGAAGATTCGAAATTCAACAGCTGGTGCAGCACTTTATGTATTACAGATCAATACAGGGACATTTGTCCACTGCAATATCCTTATACCTTAATATACCATCAAGAAAGCTCTCATTATTTTTGATTACATGAAAGCTATTGCCATGTACCCTGTACCATTACTTTTATGTAATTGTAGTCTTGAGTAATTATATTACATACATTTGTGTTTTGTTTGATTGTGTAATGCAAACTGTATTTTCTTTAGTGTGTAAATAATATATTTACCTTAAATTACAGTATTTTTCTAACAAAATTGAAAACTGTGTCCAAACCTTTGTTTGGTCTCTTGATGATTTAATTCACATTAGGTTGGAATCTGGAAGTGGGATGAGGGTTACAAAGGGAGGCGTTTCCTGAGTTCTGTGTTTGTTTTTAACTTTGTAATGAAGTTACAGTCATAATGAAAGTGCATATACATGCAAACTAGTACTAGCAATAGAAGAGAAGGAAGAACAAAAAGTGGTATAGGCACATAAAATAAAATCAGGCAGAGAGAGGAAAAACCTCAGAGCTCAAGGAAGCAGACATGGGGTGTTCTCTGGGACTCCCTAGTCATCTGGAATATCAAGCTATAGTTCATGAGAAACCTCCAATGTTCTACATTTCATGTGTTAATCACTGTGAACTGAAAGTGTGAGCCAGCTGGTATGAACTTGCCTGCCAGGGAGACATGGGGGCGGCAGTGGTAGGGATATCTGGCATGCTCTTCCTGCCCACACTTGTACACAGGCATGTATGCATGTGCATACATGCACATAATACCCCCAACACCCACCAAATAATGTGGGTAAGCCTTTGCTAAGACTGACAGAAGCATGTTTCTATGGAGCTTTCTGGAATGCCAGGGAAATTTTGGATGCCACAAGTCCCATTGACTGTGGACTACCCTCATACAGCAATACGACTGAGGAAGGTGCTTAGATATAATCCAGTCTAAGTCCTGAACATTCAGAAATGAACATCATGTGAAGGGTACAAAATTAATGATGCAATCAGGACCTACTGGCCTGATCTCTATTATTGTATGCTAAGATTTCCTTCTAATTGTTTTCTTAATTTTTATTTTTTATATTAATTACAGTTTATTTTCTTTATATCCCAGCTATAGCCCCCTCCCTCATTTTTTTCCAATCCACCCTCCCTCCCTCCTTTCCTCCCTACCCCTCTCTAATTCCACTAATAGGAGAGGTCCTCCTCCTCTTTCATCTGACCCTAACTTATCAGGTCTCATCAGGACTGGCTGCAATGTCCATCTCTGTGGCCCAGGAAGGCTGCTCCTCCCTCAGAGCAAGGGGAGGTCAAAGAGCCAGCCACTGAGTTCATATCAGAGACAGTCTTTGTTCCCCTTACTAGGTTATCCACTTGGATACTGAGCTGTCATAGGCTACGTCTGAGCAGGGATTCTAGGTTATAACCAAACCTGGTCCTTGGTTGGAGAATCAGTCTCAGAAAAGATCCCTGTGCCCAGATATATTTTGTCTTTGTGGAGCTCCTGTCCAATCCAGGTCTTACTAACACCCCTTCTTTTATATGACTCCCTGCACTCTGCCCAAGGTTTTCTTATGAGTCTCAGTATCTGCCTTGCAACAAATCAACTAATCCAATTAAAAAAAAAATGGGGTATGGAGCTAAACAGAGAATTATCTGTAGAGGAATGTAGAATGGCAGAGAAACACCTGAAGAAATGCTCAATGCCCTGAGCCATCAGGGAGATGCAAATCAAAACGACCCTGAGGTTTCACCTTACACCCTTCAGAATAGCTAAGATCAAAAACTCAAGTGACAACACATGCTGGAGAGGTTGTGAAGAAAGGGGAACCCTCCTCCATTGTGGGAATGTAAACTTGTACAACCACTTTAAAAATCAATCTGGTGCTTTCTCAGACAACTAGGAATAGTGCTTCCTCAATATCCAACTATACCACTCCTAGGCATATACCCAAAATATACCTCTAAACCTTCGTTTTTTTTTTCTTTAACTTTTATTAATTATACTTTGTATCCCTCAATAAGCCCCTCCTTCCTCTTCTCCCAATCCCACCCTCTCTTCCCCTTCTTCATGCATGCCCCTCCCCAAGTCCACTGATAGGGGAGGTCCTCCTCTCCTTCCTTCTGATCTTAGTCTATCAGATTTCATCAGGAGTAGCTGCATTGTTATCTTCTGTGGCCTGGTATGGCTGCCCCCCCATCAGGGGGAGGTGATCAGAGAGCAGGCCAATCAGATTATGTCAGAGGCAGTTCCTCTTCCCATTACTATGTAACCCACTTGGACACTAAACTGCCATGGGCTACATTTTTGCAGGGGTTCCAGGTTATCTTTATGCATGGTACTTGGTTGGAGTATGAGTCTCTGGGAAGACTCCGTGTTCAAATTTTCTGGTTCTGTTGCTCTCCTTGTGGAATTCCTGTCTTCAAGAGAGAGGACCCTGACTAAAATGCTCAATCCCCACTCCGAAAGACAAAGAGGATGGACACCAGAAGAAGAAAACGGGAAACAAGTTAGGAATCTGCCACAGAGGGCCTCTGAAAGGCTCTGCTCTGCAGACTATCAAAGCAAACGCTGAGACTTACGGCCAACTGTTGGGCAGAGTGCATGGAATCTTATGCCTCTAATCCTTTTGAAAATGTAAACCATTTGCTTTTTTTATAGGATGGGTTACATATAAAACATTGTACTCAGTTTAATCTGGCCAAATATGTCAAAAAAGACAATTTCTCCCTCCATATCTGATTCTTGTCCTAGCACATTTTCTAAGAAAAGCATGTGTCTCATTCTCTGGTCAAGATTCTTAGTTTCTCAGATTGAGAATAAGGAGCTGCAAACACAGAAGATTGGAAAACATGTTGAATAACCTCCACAGATTCCTGCTACATCCTCCCCGTGTGGGAGTGTGTTAAAAGCAGTTCATAGTATAAAAAGATTGCATTTGGGATAATACATATGTCTCAGCTCTTCTCTACAACTGAAAGCCTTTAGATCAGGTGCCAAGAAAGCCATGGTAAGGGCAATGCCCACACAATCTGAGCATCTCTCTCTAAGTGAGAAATGCAACAATATGGTATTATCCTTTTGTGTGTGAAATGGGCCAAAATCAAAACAGGATCCTCTCTGCTGTTTTTTTTTTTTTTGTTACTAATCATTTATTGTCCTGTTTTATGGAGGAAAAGGAACGACTGCATTTTACGTAGCAGTTACTGAATAAGCATTTTTAAAATATTACTTCCTTTAACTATTTTCACAGTCCTATGAAACTCAAGTGGTTTTCAAGTATGGCCAATGCACAATATCACAGTGCACAGTGTGAAACGAAATGAAGTCTCTGGGACTGTAAGATGGTTCAGCGGTTAAGAGCCCTCGCTGTTCTTGGAAAGGATGTGTTTCCTTCCCAGTACCCATACTGGTTGCTCACTACAACTCGTAACTTTAGCAGCAGTAGATCTAACTTCCTCTTCTGGCCTTCATGGGTACCTGCACACCCACGCACATAGTCCTACACAGACACACACAGAACTGAAAAACAAAGCAAATCTTACAAGAATGAGTTATAGATGAAATATGTAGGTGCTGACCTGCAAC